CACGCGGCTCTCTCCGTTTGTTGTTGATTGACGTTAGTCACTCTGGAAACTTGGCAAGAAGAAACAATTTGAACCTGCTGCATTCATTCTAAATTTTTCAGACAATTCGTGACTAATCACAAACCATTTCAGTAAAGCATCTGCTGAATGCGAAAAGGCTACCTGAACAAGGATATTCTGGACAACCATTTTCTCCTCTGTGTCGAATGAATCCCATTTTTTTTTGGCCCAGGACAATGTTCTTTTTCCTCAAATTTCCCGCACTCATCATTCCAAGTTAATTTTCGACAAATAAAAAACTGCTCCTCTCTCCTTCGACCAAAACCAAGAATAATTTTTATTAAATTGATATCATTGTAAATGAGTTGCTCACTGTTGATCTTTTGTAGAAATTCCACCTGTTATAAGTAAATCAGCTCTGAAAACTCGCAGATGCTCAATTATTTTTTGACCGTAGAAAATTTCGAATATCTTGGAAATATTCGTAAAATACTTTCGAGCTGTCTAACTCAGTGTATCATTGAGGCGCCGGTACAGAATGATTAAATTTCTATCGAACTGCTCGCACGGTTTGGAAGCCGGATGATCCAGAATCGTTCTTCAGATGCGATTTTGCAGTATGCATTACAATACAGTCATTTTGTTCGATTGAAGTACCGATCGATTGAGTACGGTAATTTATAATTAGTAATTGTGAATACCGCGGGAAAATTATTCGGATCCTCACTTGTATGTAAAAATATTTTGCATGGATTCAGTCATATTTAACTAAATGTACCTTGCTTTAGGCTCTCAAACGAATTGTGGCATACACAGTATTACGGATATGAAATTAATCAGCCGACTCATGTACAATTGCGCAACAAACCTATCCGAACTTATCTGGCACTTTATAATTTTAAAAATGTCTTGGGCAAATTAACGTGAAAACTGGGACTGCTGCTCTTTGCTTCGCTTGAACTCAACACGAAATTGCATAATGGAATTACAATAACACATGGCAACGCTTGCATAACCTCCTTCGAACAGATAAGTTTCCCTGGAGCAAATATAAAGAAATTGTGCTTTAGATACGCACAGAAAATGTTTACTTGAATGGTAAAATAGAAGCGTCTTCATTTTAGCCGAAAAAAAAATGAAGAAAATGAACATTGCCATCATTGTTCTGCTCGTTGGGTTAGTGACGACATCTGCTCTCTCCTTGCCTAAGTATAGAATAAGCCCAAGGGCTTGTCCTCGCTTCAGCACCAAGCCCGATTTCGAAGTCGTCCCACTGAGTATTTTCGAGAAATGATCACGTTAATCTACCCAAGAAAAATTGGCAGTCATCAAGGAAAATCAGCCGTGATTCCTCTCTGAACACTTTGCAAACATTATTTTTTCTGACGAAAGAAAGAGCCTCGCTTTTAATGACGATTGCCGCAAGGCGTCAACAGCAATTCTTGGGCTCTCTGACAAAAGATTTTTTAAAGACTAAAAGCATCGAATATTTTTTCCAAATTAATTATAGCTCACGTTGGTTCGTTTTTTTTAATCTTTTCCCTCTGACGTAACACCGATCTTTATATCGTACTCTTATAAATCACACAGTATACACTACTGCACACCTACCTTTTCCTCGGTAAACTCATTCAGTTGCGATCCCCATAATTGAACCTTTATTTTTTGAATTAGTTGATATAAATCCAGCTGTAGCACTGATGTTCTTTTTTACAGAGATTGAATTTCAATTTGTGAATGAACACTGAACGGTTCGTACTGCTTTTGGCCTACATTAGTCATCCACACTTCTGATACAGTACTGTACTACTCTATACTGCACTGTACTAGTCTTGATCACTCAGCAGTAGTAGTTCAGATGAAAGGAATCTCTCCTTAAGAAATTACAGGATTCTTGAACATGCATTTCGTTCGATTTCAGTACCTGGGCGAGCGGTACGAGCAGAAGATCTTTTCTTCACCCTTCCAAGATCATTATTCTTGCGTCAGAGCTCGCTATTCTCCCAGGGGTTAGTCAGTAAAATTTCAAATAAGTATCCGTCAATCTTAATGTGAACTTTGTTCTTGACAAAATAAACAGATGATGGTACTGTGGAGGTTTACAATGTTGCAACCGACTTGGAAGGAGCATTTGAAGAAATTATCGGCTACGCTTACCAAGTGAGACCAGACGTAGAGCCTGGCTTGCTGGATGTTTGTCTTCGAAGGCAGTAAGTTAAAAGCTTTCACTGGTTTTCGTCTTTCTTTCCTGTTCTTTAATTCTGCGGCCAGGTCGAAATTTAACATTTTAAACTTTTTCAAATTACCCGCGCTAATGTATGCCGTGCTGGATACCGATCAGGTGAATTGCGCATCCGTGTATTCCTGCCAATAAGACCTAGGACCTGTGTACCTCGAATTTGCGTGGGTGTTGGCCCGTGAGCGCCATGCCTCTCAAGAAGTCATTGCCGAGGCTTTGTCGAAATTCACGCAATTTGAGATTGGCATCACTAAATTTTATGACACTGCACATCCTGGGAGCTGCGTTTACGATCCTTGAATATTTCCTCGAACATTTTTTTGTAAGCGACTGATCACGTCTGTCGAGTGCGACTGCCGAGAGTGAAGAAGAATGAACCCGAAGTGAGGGGATTTGTCTTCATTCAGTTCTTTGCTTCAATCATCAAAGATATTCAAGATCCTGCCGCCTTCTTCATCGAGCATAGTTCTGTCACTCAAAAAAGCACCTACTTTCTACCAGTAATCGCAAGCAAAAAGCACATTGATTATGAACAAAACATCGTACGAATAGGTTGAAAGAAAATATTTTTTAATCTGCTAGCTTCCAAAGACATGCAATACCAGAGCGAACGCAATGAAGTTTCGGAAATAAAAATGTGACCCATTCATACAATTTGTCAGGGTTCAGTTTGGCACAACTGGTCGGGATCTAGATACGGAAAAAGTTACGTCCAAATTTTTCTCCGAATCAATTGCTCTGATCAGTTGCTTTAGTGCGATGACTTTCCTTTCCGTGAAGTTGCAGTGAAGAAGACAACACCTTGTGTGAGTAGATGTCACTCTCAGTCAGAAAAAAACTTTCATACACGCAACAGGAAATTTTTTGGGGGGCTCATCTCAATTCAAATCTTCTAGGGTTTCTCACGTGAACTAAGACGAATTTCTGAACCCGTTTCAACGGAAGTCAAAAGATCTGAGCCATTTTCAGATTTTGTCGGGGGGGGGGGGGGGGGGGGGTGATGCTGAGGACGAGTTTGAAAGCAATTGCAGTGATGGGCTGATGGTCACTAACCGTCACTTGAATTCCGAGCCCATAGAAATAACTTTGTCAGAATTTCCTGGCCTAATGGCCTTACTTCCATGGACGAGCAACATGAAGAGTACATGATTGCATGCGTTCAGTATTGTATTTGTGAGCGCAGATCGCCTTCCAATGTATCCCATTAACTTAAAAAGCCCGCCGACTCATAAGAAATGTACAGTACATGATCTAAATCGTTTTTACAGTATTAGGATCGAAGCTCCATATGTGTTACTGTAAAAATTACCTCCGGCGATCCTGAGGCAAGTTGGAGGAACGTGAAGAAAGTGCGGGAATCGAATTGAGCCTGAGAAGCCGAGAATGCGAGAAGCCGAAAAACTGGTTTCTGTAAAACTCGGTAAAATCCAACCAACTTCCCTTGACTTCTCCGCCACTCAACTTGACTCTACCCAATTGGCCAGAATGGCTGCCCGCCGGGACCAACTGCACGCCATGGAAAATTCAGTGTTTTGCAAATGCATCGTAAAAATACGTCCATTACAATTATTTAATTTAAAATTTGTTTTCTTTTTCAATTTTTCTTCGTGGAATACATGATAGATTTTAACGTGAGAGAGAGTCAGAAAATTTCATGGAATTTCAATGGGAAATCGTTAGGATCGTCATGTGGCTTAAGAGAATTGAAATACTGTAGTACCATTGAGTTTTACAATAAATGTGACCATCACATAAATTAACCAGATAAATCAAGTGTGTATGTTGTCTTCCATGGCATCCAGTTGGTCAGGAGTGGTATCGATTGTCCCTAAGGCCATGTGGGTAGCGGCAAGTTGGATGGCGACGAGTGGAAATCACCCTGCAAAATTCGCCTTTACTACTCCGCTTTGCAGTGGAGATGTGTAGTTCCCCCACGTGCGTTAGTATGGTAAATGGCTCCTGGTATCCACCCTCGATTCCTTAATGGCTTTTCCTCCGGAATGGATCTCGTTAACCTTGAAACCGAAAACACGGTTTTTTAGGGGGAGTTGTGAGGGTTATTTCCTGAAGGACACCCAAATGCCTTACTCAAGTGTGTCGTGTTATTTGGATGCTGTTTTCAGGAGAAAAACACCCAATGACCCTTATTCGTCTGAATACAAATATTGGCTCTTCCCCTTTTGTTGTGTTCTTCTTTGTTGACTGGGTTGCATGGGTCCGAAATTAGTTATATCTTTCCAACTGGCGTGATAGATTTTTAAAAAAGTGAAACTTAATGACGATGTCATGAATTTTACTTCGCATCAAGTTTACCGTAATTTTTTACATGCTGATGCATGTATCTGGACACGTTTCCCTCTGAATGAGCTTTCATGCCCATTGTCACATATATAATCACCATGGGATTAATAACTGTTCCTGGGAATTCCAGCTATCACGAAATTATGTCGTATTATGCGAAAACAATATTTATTCTATTACAACTTTTAGCCATGCAATTATGATGTTTCTTCCACGTTCAAGTCCTCTATCCGCTGATGTTTGTTTATACGTAATGCTATCTAGATTGGAATTCCAAAATTGGCCAAATTTCGGGTAGAATTTCACGCAGCATTTCATCGAAGACAGTACTGCATCCGACTTGGTTTATCAAGCACTGTTTATACGATTCCTATTTTCATACGTTTCTGTCTATGGTCTGAGCTTTATCGCGCTCAAAATTCCTTCAGGCATCCTATGGTGAAGAAAAGTAAAAAAAAGGTATGCATGTTGAAATGTATTTCGCAACTTTTCCAAGGAAGAATGAAACAGTGCTCGCATTACCTACAACAGAAAGCGCTGCCTGTAGAGTGAACGTGCTGCATGAACACTACAGGTAACGATGTTTTCCGAAACATCCAGGATCTCCAACCACGCGGTTTAAGGAGATCCATTCATTCATCGGTAACAACCAGCGCTTTTCATTCCTCACCCGGAAAAAATGCTCAACCTCTACGCACTGATTCAAAATTAAATTTTCAGACTCCGTTTTGCGTCAAATAGCTTTACAAGCTGAGAAGAGGAGATTGATGGCGTTTTGTCTCGGAGTCGAGAGCGAGCAATTCCTCTATGAATGGTGGGATGTCTTCTGGGATTGTGTACGGGGCGAACCGAGCATACGGTTTGCCATCCCGATCGATGAGGAACTTCTCGAAATTCCAGCGGATATCCCTACTGTTGAGGGAGTCATACGCCAATCTGAGCTTATCGAGGAAAGGTTCCAGAGGCGACTGGCATTCTCCCTGAAAACGAGAAAAAGGATGCAGTTTGGATATAATGCGTGATGCAGCAAGAAGACCAATAAAAATGTTCCGAGATGAAAAGCAGAGATGCAGTTTTCGCAACAAGGAAAAGTGCATCCCACGACAAATGTTCCAAGTGCAACTCAAAAAATCATTTCTAGCCTAAAAAATGCTTTCCCACTATCTAATGCATATTGCAGGCTTTCAGAAGTGAAGAGAACTACAGTATTCCACCACATAACAGGAAAAGGTTGATCATGAAGGTTTCCTCAACTGGCAATAGGTTGAATATTCAATCTGCTTCTTGCAACTCGCATTTGTTTGAATATTGAGTACACTGTATACCAAGCACTCTTTGTGCGGAAACAAACTAAAAAAATTGATCCACTGAAATATTTGCCATCTGGGCGATTTTTCATTGAGTGATCTTTTCCTTAATTTTGATCGGCGTTTTTTCTCGTTGTTGCTTTTTGTATCGCAGCTTTCCTTATTTCAACGATTATCTGATGCTTACTGAAACGTATCAAATTTGCAAATACCTTGAGATATTTGTAGAGGGCAGAAGCGTTGGGTCCATTCACTTCGCTTTTGGCGAAGAGCTGGAAATTGGGGACAAAGCCCCCACCAGGCCTCACATTAGCCAAAGCATTGTAGATTTCAGTTGCGTTTGCTCCTGGTTCTTGCTGTGGAATGCAGTCCAAGATTCTGATAAGTTGATTAACATTTCTAACTACCTCCGATCGAACTTACGTATTGGAATTGGTTGCACGGGAAACCAAGAATAACCAGATCATCGGCATATTGATCTTGCAGCACGTTCAAGCCAAGATAGTGAGGAGTCAAGCCTCAGAAAGAGGCGACATTCACCATCAGGATAAGCTGCCGGAAAGTGATCAAATTGAATGATTATTGATGCTTTTATTGAGTAAAAGTTACTCAAAGTGCATTAAATTTTTCATTTGCTTCGATTGATCGTTCGAAAATTTTGAGGAGCTTCTGTGGAACAAAGTCACTGTGTTGCGATGAAACGTATAATAATTAAGGTAAGTAAAATTTGCGAAGGGGCAAAAATTCAAACTTCGACTTGTGAATATTTTCGGGAATGCTCACGTATTTTTAATCAAAGGAAATCATTAGATTAATCTCGGAAAATTTCTCCAGTACGTCCAATGTTCGATTGAGAATTTTCCGACACTGTTTTCACAGACATTACATTTCCATTGAACTAATGAATAGAAACAGGAAGATTCCTAGAAATCTCCGCGGGGAATGAAGCAGAGAATAGCAAGAAGTGTGAAGATATACAGTATCACCTAAATTATCGGGATTATTATTTTTTATTGCAGAATAATATGAAGAAAAAATAGAAAACCCCTCGAGTAGGTAGTTTCTCTGACGTTTAAAAAAAACGAATTTGAGTAATTTGAGTGAGAATCAAATGAAAACTGCTGGCGGTTTTCGAAAATGCTTGAAGAAATACAGTGCAGGAATATTAGCCAACATGAGTGCCGTAAGTTTACAAAACAGGCATCTGATAATTGGGATACTGTTCGAAAATCATCAATTAAATTTATTCTGATTTCATAATCCCTGGGAAATTTTCAGAATGCGCCTTGAATTAGTTCACGCAGTTTTTGCACTGTTCCTTCGGAAATTAAATTCATTTTCGGAGGCTTTCCAGGAATAACTAAGGCAATAGATCAAGGGAGATGGCGAAGGCTGCAAGTTTGTCGTTACACCAACAATACGAGCCAAACCAGCACTTGTTGGGCGAGGTATTAAGTTCAGAGGTGGAGACAGGGCGATGAGTTCGACAGCGCAATTAATATACCGACAGCTGCTGTAGAAACAAGTGTAGTAAATATAAGGAAATCTACTGGAGAAACGAGGAGTTTTTCTCAGGGGTAAGGGGGAACGGCGGATATAAATCTAGCGCGCAGTCAATCCGACGTCGAAGGAGGCACGTTTTCGATTCTACGGTGCAAAAAATAAATAAACTCGTTCACTGATTCTTTGTTTCTACGACCCCAGTCGCGTCGCACACTCACTTTGCCGGCGTAGTCAGCAAAGTTCACGGTGTCACTACCGTCAAGAAGCGTGGCGCTGAAATCGTGTACAGATCCGGGGGCAACCGGTTCACAGTATTTCGCCTGTCCGGCCACCAGGCCGAAGAAGGCGAAAAGCAAGCCGCTACGAAGCATTTGCTTGCCTTTGGTACCTAAAATTTTTAGAAAAGGATCCTGGTTATTGAAAAATATGCGATAAGTAACGGAAAATATGTGATACGTCATTGAAAAATATGCGAAGTAACGGAGCGCCCTTCGTTTCGTATGTAGTATGCCCTCCTTTTCTTCTTTTTTGTGGCTATGCAGTACAATAATTAGCAGAATTAATAGTGAGATAATTCAAACTTATTTTCGCGCATGATGTCCGCCTTTTATTTTTCACCTTTTTCAGAAAAATGTAAGAGGGTTCAAATACTTTACTGTGCCAGTGTGTGAGACACTCGCACTGTGCCGAGAAACGCACTGGGAAGGAAGAGCAAGGAGAGAAGAAACCGGTGACCTATTTCTTCTGCACTAGCTTATGAAATTTCTTTTGGAGACAACATTTGACTTGAAATGAGTGTCAATGGGTATTTTTTCCATAGCTCCACTCGTAGGGGCGATTTTTCCTGTTGCATCAACTTAGCATGAAAACGTTTCATTTGAATTCGTTCTTAGATAAGTAATAATTGCGTATTAAACTTCCGCTTGGGTTATCGTAACCATGAATCATGAGAATCGGACCTTTTAAAAGCTTTTATACTACTTCCCTCGTATCAGCGACTCCAGAAATTGGAATCATAATCTGTTCGTGGGGAACTGTGCAGTTGGCACTCATGCCTGAGCTGCTATATGTGTTGATAAAACGATTAAACGGTTTGTTGAAGTAAGCGTGAGAAACCTGCGGAGAAATCTACGTGTCGGTTTGAACTCTAATAGTCTGAGATCCATTTTCGGGCGGAAATACAAGAACCTTCGGGCGGAAATACCAGACGGGATCCGTAGTGTATATAAATCAATCACTCGTTTTGAAAAATTTTTTTTAAACCATCGACGCGGGAAACAAGACCATTCGAGATTATGTACTCGTATTGGCAGACGTAACATCTCATGATTACCACACCGTAAAAGTCAGACGAAAAGAATTCGTCGTTGCATTTCTCATCATGGCCCTTCTCCATGATTTCTGAGAATTTGTCGTTGCCGGAAGTCGTTGTTCAGAAACGCGGGGAAAATTGTCTCTACTACGAAAAATACTAGACTCAACCCCGTCCGTAGCGTGGCGCCCAAGAACCACAACATCGCCTCTCTTGGATTTCTCGCAGGAGCCATCGTATACGATGTCGCAGGTGCAATCCTGCAAATGTCCTTGAGCAGGCGCGCTGCCAGAACGTGATGTACTGTACAGGATTTGAAACCATCCCTGTCGGACAGGGAAGCCCGTACGACCTTCTCTTGTGTCGCTACTGGCATGAACCTTTTCGGAAGGAAAGTCGATCTCATATTCCTCGAAACTGTGGGTTTTTTTAAATAAAACAGAAACAATTTTGAATTGAAAATTTTTCACGCGCTTGGATAACGTGTTTGATGTTGTATTCGGTTGCAACGCTAAATTTTTCCATTTTGTATTGTTCGCAAGTGCTAAGATACTGTATATTGTGAACATCGCTTTTGTTGCATGTACAGTGCACGTACGCAAAAATGACGCATCCTTACAAGTCTTTGTTTTAGACTCGTTCCGTCAGTTTTAAACAACGAACAGAAGGAAAATATTAATTGAACTATTTTAATATGCATGATTTAGTTACGTGTAGGTTCAGCTACACTTAATTTTTCTCGTCTAATTTTCGAAGCAAAGGATCGTGCGACATGAGTTAATATTTGTCTGGGTCGAAGAGATAGGTTTCGATGCCATGGATCCATCCCACGAAAAAGTTGTAGTATTGGACAAGAGGAATCGCTCTGTACACTTTCGCGCGGAGACATCTATAACCAAATGCTTCCCGCGCTTTGGTGATGCACTCCCGCGCGCAGCCTCGTAGTTTGTCAGGAATTACCGTGGAGAACAGAGTTGCACGTGAACTTTGTGTTTTGTCTGTGATTACGTTGCTGTCGCAAAAGAAGTTCGTTTCGGGAAGAGGAAGATTAATTCTTCGCCATCATGCAGTTCCCTGATACTACCTCGTAAGTTCTGCTAGCTTGTCCGCCATATTCGATTTGATGTAGAATAAATCAGCGATTTTCTTGGAATACTGTACAATATATCGAGCGTTCGCCGGCACCCGACTGTCTGAAGTAGAAACACTGTAAAATTTAAAGTCTAGTTTATATGGAGATTTAAATCGAGGAATGTATCTATTCGCAGCTTCCCGCAGCAGTACTGCTATCCGAATCTGCTGACCATGCAAAACCAGAACAACAACGCGGCAATGATTTCGTTTGCCCCGTATCCGATTCCTGGAGCTCGTGAGTACTTTATCTTATGGGATCATAATCAATCGGAGACGAAAATGCGCCCGAAGTAAAGTCAAACACAATCAGCAAGTACTGGTCCAAATCGTGTCCCGTTCGGAACTTCTGTTTTCCAAAGAGTCGATTCTTCGTTGACGCCCAGTTACACGATGCGACATTTGAAAAATCTGGAATGCTTGTAATTCAATTGTTATTATTTTATCGCAAGTTAAAGAATGCCAATTTGATAAGGACGTGATCATACGTTACCTAGATCCATGATGTTCATATGTAAGGAGTTTGTTTTCTAAGTGGAATTTCATCTTATGGTGGAGTTTTCACAACATTTCTCAATGTTTGCTGTTGTGAGAACGAAAGATAAGTTCCAGAGAAGACGGATTTATCCAGTAGAACAGTTGGATGTAGTCAGGTAGATGCAGTCTGTTGGACTTTTCTCCTCGTTGATATGGTGTGTGTAAAATTTTTCTGACTCAGCAGTCGGTTTTCTCGTATATTTTACGAAATGCGAAGCTCAACTTCGGGCTTGTGTGGTAATGATTGTTGTTCAATTTAAGTCTACAACGGACAGCCGGTGGTGACGTCCGACGTACTGCAGAACGTTTTCAAACTGATGGGCACCGATTTTTCCATGCCGGAATATCCAATCAAAGTTTCAACGTGTGAAGCCACGAACGACGGCTGCATTGGAAATGAACCGGAGTCCATGGGAAGGACTAATTTAATAGTCAATTATTTACCACTCGAATTGTCCCAAGAGGGACTTCGTAGAATGTTCTCGCCATTTGGTGCTATCGTCAGTTGCCGCATAATCCGCGAACATTGCGGATGGGACGGCGACCGAAGAGTTCTTGGTAAGTACAGCTTATGACGTCACAATCTAAACGCTAGTTATTCTTCGGCTTACGTTCCGGCGCGAACGACCTGACCGTTAATCTGCGCTGAGCTTTTCCCTTTCACTAAAAAATGATTTGTTGCTATGGTATCTGAGCTGGATGCAGTGACGTCATCGGAAACGATGAGCCTTCCCATCAGCTGTGCTTAATATCAGTTTGTTCATGATGTAGGAGGAAGCCTGGGCTACGGCTTCGTCAACTTCGCGTTTTCATCTGATGCGCAGAGGGCCGTGTGTGTGTTGAATGGCACGAAGCTCCTGGGAAAAACCCTCAAGGTTCGTCTATCATAAACCGTGCAGTAAAACAAACGAGTTAATAGTCAGATGCTTTCTTCTGGACAACTATCACATATTCGAAGGTTGTCTTTTCGAAAATGCGGATAATGTGTGGGTCTGAATTACCGTATAGATGCAGAATACTGTAACATCAATTACATTTTCCGAATTACTATAATAGACGAAGAAAATTTGATAGAATAATAGACAATATCGCAGACCTCAAATTCTATTTGAGTCAAATGTATGAGTTGCTCTGATTGATTAATTTATGATCCGTGTGAATGCTCTTCAAAATCTGTGTAAATGTGCATTGCAATATTTCAGGTTATTTTCAATTTTTCGAAAAACTTGAAGAATCTTCGCTAGCAATCTTCGCTGGTACACCTGGTTAATGAACCCAGTCATTGTTTTTAAAAATCTGAGTCCTACTCCATTCTTTCTTTGTTCGTTTTCTTTCTTTGACTTGGGTTGAGTATGGAGATTAACTTGAAAGTGGGATCAGCATTTGTCAAAGCAAAAAAAATATCTGAATTATATGCAGCTGTTTGCAGCAAGTGTTATTTTTACTCAAAGTGTTCTTAATGGGCAGCATAGATCAAATTACAGTGTGACAAAAGATTTCAAGACTGTACTGTGTTCATAATTTTCTCAGTTCCTCCGCTTATGCAAATACAATACTGTACATGTACAGCAAAGCTTGACGTAGCACTTATATATGTATGACTGATTTTATAGCCACGAATGTACAGTTCCGAATTTAAAGTTTCGTTATTGCGAGGTATTCTGCGAACATCTGGATTTTGAATGTTATCTCAGCCGCTCAAATTAATTTTCCGATATGCTGCTTATTGCCGCTTAGGTGTCATTTGCACGTCCGAGTTCGGACGTGATAAAAAACGCGAACCTGTATGTCAAGAATCTCCCGCGCACGATTACTTCGCAGCAGTTGGAGCAGATATTCTCTCCTTTTGGAAACATTGTCACAACGCGAATCATTCTCGACAGGCTAAGTGGTGAGTAAACCGTGCGAAATATTGAGGTTTCTCTGGACGTCTGGTATGCACTCCGTGATTCACAACCGAGAATAACTAAACATGAATCGAGCTGGGAAATGAGATCTGCAAGCTTTACCATATCTTACAGAAGCAATCTTAGCAATAGCACCCTGATTCAGTATTTTTCACCCATTTGAGGGAAAAATTTGTCAACACAGCTTTGATCCCTTATTGAGGAAATTTGGCTATCCGTATCCCTCATTAAAGAGCAATTTTAATTGAATGAGGGTGTAGATAATTATATGACACGAAGATTGAATATCCTTACGAATCCCTGGAAATCGCCGGGAGGGGGGTCTCCTGGATGTAATTTTTGTGGCCGGGTTTTTTTCGTATGATTTTGAACGTAAGCCCAACTACTCACCATACGGTGCTATGCTCGAATGTTTTGATTGAAAACCTGATCACTGAAAACCCGATGTTATCAACAAATTGCTGGCGTAGGCTCCGTTTTCCGACACGGAAGCTTTTTTTTTTGTTGAGTTGCGACGCATAAATGGCGCAACTTTGAAAGGAAGGACCATCCCGCGTTTTGCGCTTCTCGTTCATGAGAGGCCTCTGCAGTGGCTAATTCCCGCAAGCGCATTTCTTACACCTTCAGGCTTGCCGACTGGTATCGGGTTCGTGCGCTTCGACACTCGAATGGAGGCCGAAAGAGCCATAACCTCTTTAAATGACACTCAGCCCATTGGTTTTGATCAACCAATAATCGTGAAAATTGCCATGGCCGGTAGACCGCGGCTCCCTTTGTCTCCGGAGCGTCTGCCTGATGGCGACCACGCCCTCAAACCTGGACCCGATGAAGCGAACATTGGACGTCAGCCGGATCGTCGGAGTTTGACGGCTCGCCGACGTCCGCATTCAGTTTACCAGTAAGCTGAACCCGTTTACATAGACTTTTCCGACTTTTGACCAATTCGTGCAGGAAAATTCGCGCTTTAGCATATTTTGTCATATTTAAACTCACTAGTTCGTCCGGAATTATTGAAATTGTTGGGAAAGTTACCTGACAAAAATAATACCGTAATTTAGAGATAGTGATAATTCGTCTCCAAGAGGCTTATTGTGTTAGTGAGTTTATGTGCTGTACGATGATGTGTACTTGATTTAGCAGAATTTATTCCCATTTAGGAATCTTTTTTCAAGACGACATAGGTTACGTAAATATTCTTACTATGAAAAACCTTGCTTGTGTTGATCATTGAACCCGAAGACCCAAGGAATATTTTTCTCCGCCGGAACCGAGCTGGATGTGCAGGAAAATTCCGCCGACTCCTACCAGTGATATATCCTAAATCGTTAGATCAATCATCATGAAGTAGTTCAATTAAAGCTCTTGAAATAATCTTCGGGGTGATTTAATGTTTTAATCAAATGGGAAGACCATACACTATTGCCTAGGCTGTTGGAAGAAAGAAAAATATGCTTAGGAAAAAGTTGCATATTTTCTGTGGAGTTTTAAAATTATTTGATTTTTTATTTTCTTTGAATCTCAATCAACTCTATTGCCTTTCTAGCAAGTCCAATGAACTTGATTTTTACGAAATGGAAACGTAGTTTGGTTGTTCCGAGGTTTTCTGAAATGACTGGTACCCTCCTGACGTTATCTTAGTTTGAAGATTGGTCTAGTTTTCCTGGTCCATGCTGAGATCGATATTGGGCTGCGTCATTTTTAGGCAATATTAAACATAGGTAGTCGGATCAATCGATTCGTTGAACGAGCGCGGTGTGACAATACAGTTGTTTTCGATACTTTGTACCAAGAATAATCATTCCATCGTTCGTGTCTCTGATAATCGCTCATGAGCTTCGCAGAGATCGACTTGATTACCTTATTCTTCCGGCGTAGCACGTAAGGAACGTGGGAATTACACGGTCGACTGACATTGAATGCCATGTCAACCGGAATACGTTCGTGACGTGCGCGGATCGAATGCCTTGAAATGTATCGCTAGATTCTCTGATCAGCTTTCGAGGGTGAAAGAGAAAACGATATTCATCAGATTTGTTTTGTTTTGCCAATCGGTTTTCATGAGATTTCATGGAAGCCATGTTCAGTTGTTCTTCGGTAGTTGATGCGAAATTCATGCATTCTTGCGTTTTTACTCCTCTATTCTAGTTTCGGAAGATCGTTGGTAACTGGGTTAGCCAGGTGGGTTGGATCACTTGTTGTAAAAGTCTGGGCTTGATTATACAGTATATTTTTGAAACGCTTTTGTAACGCATCCGCATGTTGCTTGGGCGAAGAGAGGACAACACATGGGCGAATTTAATCCAGGAAGAAAATCACCGCGCCGAAATCAGAAAGAAACCGCTCAATTTTATATAACGTAGCAGGAGGAAAGTATAAAGTCGACGAGGAGTTAACAGGAGAACGACATAAAAGCCGTTTTGCGTGATCCTGATGCAAAGTGCCATTTCTACTATTCTTTTATTTTGGTTAATTGCCGTACAGCATTTCGTTTATTTCCGCAAAAATAGAAGGTATCATCACGAAGATTGGAATAAGATCCTGAAGCACCTGCATGCATTCCGCAGACTTCGCACTAGGTGGCACTCTTCTGGATTTCTTTCCTTTCGGGAGATATCCGTGTGGGGCTTTTATCTCGGACGATTATTTTACAGTACAGTCAAGGTTATTAATGCTTATATGCTCTCAAGGTGGATGCTTTTTCCCTGACCAGGGGTTGCCCTCTAACACGCAGAAAGATTAGAGATTGATAAAATGCCAGCTTATGTAAATATTATTGTCACTTCAGAAGTGAACCCTTCATAGAGCACGTCACAGATTCTGAGCAACATTCGTGCAACTTGTAAGTGTGGTTTCACGAGGAGATGAAACACTCTTACTCTGCTTTACTAGATACTACCAGCTGATTTATGCTTCGCTAAATTAAATTATGTTGTTGATGCACATTGAGCAGATTGACAATCTTACTTTGCAGGCAATTTTCACACCCGACGGGATCCTGGAGGAAGACACCTGTCGGTGCGTCGGAAGAACTCATCCAAGGCACGATGAATCCTGGGCATCGAGGATGCTCGTCGCTTGGTATGCGAACCAACACTTCAGGCAAGTATGTCATCCGTGTGAAACACTTGCCGCGGGGTTTGAATAATGTAGTCGTCAAAAGCATGTTCCAAGTCTACGGTGATGTCGAGCACGTTGAGATGCACCGTGACCAAGCGTATGTGACGATGGTTGATCTAGTGTCAGCTTTGCAGGCGATCAGCACGGTGAACGGGCATCGAGTCGACGGAAAACGGCTGACGGCTCATTTTTGTTGAAATCGATCGTTCATCCATAAATTCAATGCAGAATATTTGAACAAGAGCTTTTTCTTCATAGTCTTTTATACTTGCAAACGTGCAGTTCGATCATTCGAAGCTTTTTTATGCGTCGAGGAAGCGTTTTTCATTGCAGTAATTCTTGTGATCTGAAACCGGTACTGTATTACTTTTCCTGTATTATATTGGCATGCTTGATCTTCCATGCCATCATATTTTTAACGTGCTATTCGTTTCGAAAAGTTTGCTCGGAACGAAGGACGTTTGAATTATCGGTACAGTACCTTTTTTGGCATTATTACTTCCGTTCATGGTCTCTCGAAATGTCGAATTCCTTTGTGAATTTTTTCGGAAAGTGCACGGGTTTTTGTTTGGAACTCGCGAAGAAATTAGCATGTACATTACGTTTTTATGCTTTTTTGAAGCTTTTCGTGCGACGGGAACATGGCGCACGATTGTTCAAATGATATCATGAACCAGTGAGTCACCTTGCAAGAGCTCAAAAAACTACTGTAGCCAGTTTACGGTCAGACCTTGTTACTTTACCAGAAAAATGTCGTTCAATTCAGGGGGATCTTTTCATAGTGAAAACTTCTTGTTTCTCAAATTCATGATGGGACTAATTTCGAATTTGAATATCAAATTATTATGCAGTGAAGTTATTTCTTTTCAGTTTCGTGTTCGAATTTCATCACCTTAAATGAACTGCCACTGACTACTTTGAAGAAATAGACTTCTGAAGCCTCGTATTCTCGATTTTGCTATGCTTGCATCAAATTGCGGAAGTGCACTTTGAATCAGTTGGTAACCTTTTATTCGTTTATTAATGGTAGCATCTCAGAAGGGTGAAGCTTCAGTCGGAATAAATCTATCTTATTGTGAAGAGGATTTTGACCTTCTCATAAGAAATGAATTCGCGGTTTTTCGAATGAAGCCGTCTGATGTTCGTGTGAGGCCGAAGTGGTTTTGTGCGTCGAGCGATTGTATCCTGTTTTTGTTCGTAATGCTGAGTTTACTGTGCCGAATTTGTTATTCGTGTTGATCTGTTCTCGACCAGACTGCTTTGGCCGTAGTTCGCTAGAAATGAATTCATGGAACTGAAGCAGCGTCTTGTATTGCAGGCGTATTCATTGTGGAGTACTCAAGTCGAAAAAAATTTTCATAGATGCCGCTCTATCTTTAGCGGAAGTCCACAACATCAGCGAAATTGCCATGCTGTTCTGCCGAATGGGATTGTGCTTAGTCTAATGGTTGATATTACTCGCATCATTGTGCAGCTTTTAAATTCAGCGATGATTTCTTTTGGTACATGGAGTAGTTAATGACGCGTAGGCCTTCACTTACACCTAAAAGCTGATGTTTTATGAAAACTACGTGTCCACTGAACTGCATGGGTACTAAAATGAGAAACCATGTGTACCCAATGAAGCCTGTCAAATTGTTGGGATCAGGTCCGGCCCTGATATGGGCATTGCTTTTGTGCAATCCGGAGCCCTTTTTAAGTTTTCCCACTGTTCGGGGTGACAGGGAACAAATCCGTGTGGCGAATGCTGTGGGATCTGTGGAACAGCACGGGCTACATTATAGACATGCTGAAATTCAAGGTTTCATTTTGAAGTACTGTATTAGGAAATCATCCCCGTGAACAGATGATAGCTGTTCCTCATCCACCTTACTTTTTCATGGAATGATTCTTCTTTTATATTTATATTACTGTAGTAAGTCTTCTTGAGAGCTGCACAAGTTATTTTCTTTCTTGAAGCATGACGGAACAAGTGTTCAGTTCAGTGCAGCATCTTCCTCACTCAACAATCGATCGTACTTCTTTCCTTTGTACAACTCATTGATGCCAGGGTAGAATCGACGCAGAAGTATATTAAAATTTATTTATAATACTGTATTGAGTGAAACACAATCTTCTTTTGTCTGATAATCTCAATTGGAGCCGCAATGGCACGAAAATCACAGCCCGGTTGCTATTTTATCTGGCTATATTGATCCCCCTGCCTAATGCCTCATCCAAGATGCCACACTTCGTCGTTCCTCCTACCAGCCATGGCTCGATTGTGTGGTAAATCGTTGAAAACCTGCACATGCAGTAGCAAGGATATCCTTGAATGGGATAGTTATAATTCCTGGTTGGGAATCACATCCATGGTCTCATAAGAATTGACAGTAAGCTATGAGTATTATTCATCGCTTTTCTTCTGCGCCATTAACGCCACTCGTTTCTTTTTTCGAGCAATCGAACTGATGTACTGTACGCGCATTTCTACCCGCGGTCAGAAGCTTTGCGCTCAAGTTACGAAGTTTCTTGGAAATGCACCCCCGTCACCCGTGCTTAGAGGCAACCGTGGGATGGATTTTTCTTGTACCCAGATCGATCATCTGAAGAAGCTCATCAACTGACGGCTTTGCAAACAATGCTTTCACCCGATTTTCGGTTGTTCCACATCCTGTTGAAGTTGCAGAACGGAATACAGATTATTTCTTAAGTCGTGAACTACCGAATATTTGTTCTTGTTAGTCAGCTTTGGTTTCTTGCTTTCGTATTTTCAAGAACTATGTGGCACTGCAGATCACGTGTCCATCAAGGTAAAAAAAGTTCATTAAGTACTGTACTGTACTTCCCAAGCTTCGTCTAACCCAAACGCTTTTTTCAAGAGGCCGATTCAACTACAGTGTGTCTTTAATGCCACTCGTTATTTGAGCGTAGTTACGAAGACCGGTCCGCCATAAGAGGTTATGACTTGATTACAGGCAAAGAAGGAGTTGTAACAAATCAGAATTTCGGAATGCTGAAAAATATTTCGCGACGAAGCTCCACGATGAGCTAATCCTTGATGAGCATTGGGCTGCTTCTTATTTCGCAGAGGGCCCCAAAGAGGCACAATGGAAGAACATAAACCACAAATTATAAAAGCGCCCAATTGAAATCAAGCGTACGAAAATCACGTAGTGCAAGATTCACGTTTTTTTATGCTGAAAATCAATATTTTTATTGATGATTTGCGTTATTCTGCGTGACTATGACGCAAGAAAAGATCGATCACACACAGTCTTCGGGGAGGTTTTCGCGAGGGGGGCTTTTGACTGCCGCTTGCATCTTCCTTTCCCAAGATGGTGGATGTGTTCTCTAATCCAGCGAAACGATTGTGCGAAGTTCGATTAAAATTTTATGAACTGGGTTTTGTTATCTGCGAACATTCATACCATCGGTCGGCGTCACGTTGAATGTCCGGTTTCACGAGTTATATTCAAACCTGAACATGTGCGGCGAGGACTTCGTCGCGCGGAAACAACATTAAGAGAGGGAGACCCAAGAGTATGTCCTGCATAATTTGCTGTTTGTTTTTCTCGGTGAGGCCCAACACACTGCGCCCGATCGCCATTTCAGTTAGAAACCAGTGTTGAAGACGTGAACGTGATCCGTGCCCATTCGCGTTCGCCGAAGTCGTGGAGAATAACGGTCCGAATTGTGTTACATGGTTGAAATAAAATTGAATGCCTTCGACTGAAGTTCGAATGTTCTGGAATATGTTCGAGCATTTGGCTGTGTAACCGACGACCCTCCTTTGGAAATGTCCTCTTTTTTTCATTTTATTGCGTGAGAACAGCTTCGAGAGTCACGATTGCGTTGCTCTGATCTACAATACCTTTGTTCACTAAATTTCAGCCCGCCTGCTAGATCAGCTCTTTTTCTTGGAGATTTTCGACACCTTATTCACGAATCACGACTGGGAATTTTAATTGATTACAATACGTAGCTGTAATGTAGCACATTGATTTCCAGTATCTTTAATGCACACACTTTTTCGTGATTCTCCCATCTCTAATTATGGAATTGTCCCAGTTAAAGTTTAAGTTCAAATTGATTTGTGGTTCCTTTTTGTGAATATTAGCGTCGCCTCAGAAACGCGAAGTTTTGTATCTTCCCGCTCCAACGATCCCTTTTTCAAAAGTACAGTACGGCATTCATTTGGCTGAGTAATTTTTACGAATTATTGTATAAATGTTCTTGGCCTTCCGTACATGTCTTACAAAACGTTTTCTGATTATCAAAATCAATAATTATTTGCTGTCTCCAGGTGGAATAAAGAACATAATTATCCCATTCTTTTGGTCCTACTTCTTGATTAACATAATTTACTGCAATTTAAAATTCCGTCATTTCTCTTGCATGGAGTAACCAATAATAGGGTTTTTGGGTTACATGTAGCGCAGCTTGAAAGCTTAGGTTTTAGAGTAGCATGAAAGCACTTTTTCCCGTGGAGAATTCTCTTTATATAATTAATCTGTGTGTATTTGTTTTGTTCTAAGATTCATTATTCTTTAATCTCGGCGTACAGTATCAATTGCGTAGATCAGTTGCGATGCAATCCTTGTACCAGCTAAGTTTTAAAACGAACAAACGATGATCACCGTGCTTCGTCTTATCTCTTTTCTTGACCGATTGCCTTGTTCCCGTCATTGCTGTTCGATGCCAATTTAAAATGCTTTGATCGGATGATTTGACTTGAGTAATTGCCGGACGTTTGATTATTGCGCGTAAAGTGTTACTCAATCTGTGTCCAGGAAGTAGAGAGAGGGCAAATTCATCAGTGCCTTCACGAATTCCTTAATTTTACTTAATTTGCCGTATATTCGTGCCGATGAAGTTTCGACGCTGATACCGCGAAAATCGCGTTGCGAAGGCGGGGGCGAAAGCGGGGTCCCACGCCGATACAGATTTTCTGGGATCATTTGACCGGGCGCGGGAGGGCTCGTCAGACGCTCTCGTGTGCAGACGAATACTGCCGCTTGCGAGGGCTTTGTCGCCTGCTCGAGGATCAAGAGTTTTGTCTTCAGGCAGTTGAGAGGATTGACTTTTTAGGTGTCGTCTTGTGGGATCCCTGTATACAGGCGTGGTCTCAGTGTACTCGAGTCTTACGCGTGTGTTGAGCGAAACGGATTGTTTTTCGGTTACGTTGAACTAATTTCATTGATATGTTCGCTGCAGCCTGAGCGAAGTCGGCGAATCGTTTTCCTGCCGAGTTGTTCAGTTCGATTCCGTGCGTAGCAGTGATGGTATGATGGC